GTCGATAACCAGCAACTCTTCTTCGTTTTTCCGCTTCCATTCCAAGTCTTTCCCTAACCTGTCTTTTGCAAAACTGAGCGAATGCGACATCCACCCTGCGTCGTCATCGGACTCCTCCTCATCCTGCTTGTCCCAGGCTTTACAGGACTGGCATCCTACTATGAAGTGGAGATCGCATGCGCCTTCTTCTTCTTCATCGGCTCCGTTCGCGTCTCCGTTGCCTTGGTTGCTCGGTGCTTCCTCTGGTAATGTTGGAGTGGCCATCTTCGGGGCGGCGGTGGAATCTGCGGAGTCTAGCTTTGATTTGAACCGGTTGAGAATGTCCAGCGCTGACTGCTCGTCCTTTGCATTGCCGCCTGCGCCGCGCTTCCGTCCCCGTGTTGTAGTTGACGGTACCATTGACTCCAGTAGCGACTTCTTCTTGGCTGGCCCAGTATCTTGCGCGGCTGTGTTCCGCTTCATCGATGCCTTCAGGTCGGCAATCTGCTGGTTGACGCGGTCTAGCTTCGATCGCTTCTCGGACTCAGGCGAGAGTTCTCGTGGTGGGGTGCGCGCTTTGGGTTTGGGTGGTGATTTGGGAGTGGCTTTGTGCGCAGGTTTGGGCGATGGGGATCGTGGCGGCGACTTTCGCGACGGCTTGCGTATGGGTATCTCTCTCGTGTCCTCGGGTGCTTTCGACGCAGGCTTCTCCTCTCCTGCGCTGACTAGCTTGGTGTTGAACTTGGGCTTCTTCGCGACCGGCGCTGCATCAGCCTCGGCTTCATCCCCAAAGCTGAGCACGTTCTTGCCAGCCTTCCTCTTCGGCTTCTTCTTCTTGGTCTCGGACTCATTCGTCGTAGCCACCTGCACCCTCTTGACCATGTCCTCGAACGGGTTTATGATGATCTCGGCGCCCGTGACCTTGGTGGGGTACATGGGCTGGTCGTCGCTGCCGTCCCGTATCTCGGCCTCGGCCATCTTCATCAGGTTGTAGATGGTGTCGCCGGCTACCCGGCCGAACATGGTGTTCTTGCCCTGCAGCTCTGGGGTGGCTGCGAGGGTGAAGAAGAACTGGCTGCCATTGTCGTCCTTCTTGCCCGTGTTGGCCATGCCCAGCAGCCCCCGTCGCGTGTACTTCAGCCGGCTGTGGAACTCGTCGGCAAAGGGCTCGCCATCGTAGCTGCTCTCTCCGCCCTGCCCCGTGCCCGTGGGGTCGCCGCCCTGCAGGATGAAGCCCTTGACCAGGCGGTGGAAGACGGTGTTGTCGTAGTAGCCATCGAGACACAGCTGCAGGAAGTTGCGCGACGTGATGGGCGTCTGCTTGGCGAAGAGCTCGATCTCGAGATCGCCCGTGGTGGTGTGCAGGACGACTTTGGCCGTCGGGTTCGGCTCGAGGTTGTACGTCGTGGCCATGTCAGCGACGGAGTTCCGTTATCGAGGTGCGTTATCAGGGCCGTTATCAGTGCCGTCACCAGAATGCGCCGTGGTTGCGCCCGTGGAGGATTCGCGAAGTCGCGTCCCAACTCTATCGCGAATTTGTTGGCCAGTGAGCGCTGAGCTGCCCTGCACGGGCCTCGGCAAACGTGCCCCGACGTCATCTTGGCTGCTCACCCACCATGCACCACAGCCTGCATACTCTCACTTAACTTTCCGCCGCCCGACACAGGACCGATGCCTTCCATATAATACCGCTGTTCTCAACTCTCACCGCTTCTGGTTCTACCCGTCTGTCTTCTGGGTCTGACTTTGCGTCAGCTTGACAGTTGGCACCATGTTGCCCTACATCAACGCACGTACGTGTTAGCATGCTGAGCCACTACCACCAATACTGACCATCTGAAGCTTTTGAATATGTGGCTGGTGCGCTTGGGAATTCGGCTGATGAGCGTAAGATCTCACATGGCACATGTGGCTGATGTTCTGCTGACTCCACCCAGTCAAGCTCATTTTCTCCTTCTACCTGTCGTATCCTCTAGCTGCCGTGTTAAAAAGGATTCCCGACAAGGACCCATGGAAGAAGAATGTCTTCGTCATTACGTGAGGCTCATCAAATCTTGTTCCGGATGAATTGGTGTTAATGGCTCCAGCGTCTCCATGTTCTACCTTGTTGGCCTTTTTGACTTATGGACCGGCCTGCGGACCATCTTCATCAGTGCTGGCGGGGCCTACCTCATCTCTTCGAAAATTCATTCGCCGTACATGCCATGGATCGGATTCGTATTTCTCATGGGCCACATGTCGGTGAACCACATCTACCGACAAGCTGTGAATGACCCATCCGTCTTTGACATCACCGGAGCTCAGATGGTCCTCGTCATGAAGCTGACTGCTTTCTGCTGGAATGTCCAGGATGGTCGTCTTCCGGACGCTGAGCTTTCCGAACAACAGCGCGCCCACGCTATCCGGACAATGCCCAGCATGATCGACTACGTCGGCTATGTCTTTTTCTTTCCTGCCCTTATGGCTGGTCCAGCCTTTGACTACGCCGATTACAGCCAGTACATCACTACCACCATGTTCACCCTCCCACCAGGCACCGATCCATCCAAAGCACCCCCAACGCGCAAGAAGCGGAAGATTCCTCGCAGCGGTATGCCTGCCGTAACCAAAGGAGTCTACGGAACTCTCTGGCTGGTCGCGTTCATCAAATTCTCCAGCTGGTACTACCCTGAATTCTACCTCGGGGACGAATACCTGCAATACAACTTTTTCCGTAGGATCTGGCAGCTCTACATGCTTGGTCTTACCACGCGCATGAAGTACTACGCAGTTTGGAGTCTATCTGAGGGATCGTGTATCCTCTCCGGAATCGGCTACAACGGTCTTGACCCCAAGACTGGTCGAGCTAAGTGGGACCGTCTCACCAACATCAAGCCACTCGAGATTGAAGCCGCGCAGAATGCTCGTGCCTACCTTGGTTTCTGGAACATCAACACCAATACCTGGCTGAAGAACTACATGTATCTTCGTGTGACACCTAAGGGACAGAAACCTGGCTTCAGGGCTACACTAGCCACATTTGTGACTAGCGCATTCTGGCATGGATTCTACCCTGGCTATTACATGGCGTTCATTCTGGCAGCTCTTGTACAAACTGCTGCGAAGAGTAGGTCTTTGACGATGCGCTATCTGCCTTCATGCTGACATTCACCAGATGGCCGCCGATTGATCCGTCCGCTATTCATGACGCCAGACGGGAAATCGCCTCTACCTTCGAAGCGATACTACGACCTCTTCTGCGTCGTCCTTACACAGACTGTGTTTGCGTTCGTAGTCGCTCCCTTCATCCTTCTTGGCTTTTCGGATACGATCAAGATCTGGGCACGGGTTTACTTCTACACTCTCATCGGTGTGGCCGGATCATTTGCTGTCTTTTCGCGGTCGTTCCCCATCCGCAAGCAGCTCGTTCAACTTCAGACGGCTCGTGCGCCCCCAGCGGCAGCCACCACATACGATGATCCTGCCATCGAGAAGGCAGCACGGGAAGAGATTCGACGAGTAAAGTTAACGAGGACCAACTCTGCGGACAGTGTTACCAGCCACGCCAAAATGCCTCTCCTGGGTATTGCGGATGACCCCGAGGCGGAGATTGACGAGATCGTAGCCGAAGTCAAGGCTGAGATCGAGCAAAGGAAGAGGAGGGGCAGCGTGATGCAAGGATTTGATCTCAAGCAAGCCGTGCAGGACAAGCTGAAGCAGTTCAACAAAAAGGGGTAGAGTATGATACACTGGCGGCGATACTCCAGTAGCAGTTGCAGGTACGTCTTTGTGGTATAGGGATAGGAAACAGGCCGGCTTGGGGATCAGCCGTCCAATATAGCCTGAATACATACTGAGTAGCAAGAGGCGTTGCGGACTTGGTTCCGAACCTTCCCGCCATTCACCGGATTTATCACAGGCCTTTGTGCACGTTCGTCGCTTCAGCCCAACGTCAAAACTTCGGGCAAATCATACCGCCCAGTTCAATCGTTCAGCCCAGCGCGAGCTATCGGCGACCACAGATATCGTCCGCTCCTGTCTGAGCTAGCGGGTGTCTTGCGTGCTAAATGTGGCGCAAACTCTATTGCCATGTGGTAGCTCGGTAACGCCGGCCTTTTGACACCGACGCCGCGTCACTCCAGCGCCGCTCACAAAGTTTGCGGCATCTTCTAGCTTCGGGCGTCAAGAGGCTTCTGTCACCGAAAGTTACTTTGAACTACCGCAATCCCATGGAGAATATGATCATCGCATCGTCGCGTGGTCGCACAAGTGCATGCGATTTTGCTATTCGAAGCTAACGGCCTAGAACACGAGATGCAGTGGCTGCATGATCGGACCGACGAATCGTATAATCGATCGCACATCCCGCAGGTCTGAGACTTCCTAGACGCACATCTGCACGGAGCGCCCGTCGCCTCATGTTGACGACGACTCAAGTCCTTCCTTCAGGTCGCAACGCTCCCATGCCGCGTGGTCATTTCCCGGGGCCCAGGTACCTGGAGGGTCTATCCCAGTTCAGCCCGCTAGACGATCGTGTTCTCTCAAGCTTCTCCGTCGCTACATGAACGCTTGGCTGGAATTCGTTGCCGGACGTGCAGCTAACGGTGCCGCTTCCTTTTACAGGCTTAACGCTCGAGCAATGCACTTATAACCCATTACTAGAGATATTGCAACATTTGTGGTGTTTTCGCCATACTAGCCTGATCCGACTCCACTTCCCGACGACATGCTTCTAGTGTACCCATTCCAAACACGCCATGTCGCGTGTCGAGTAGTCGATCTAGCATCCCATCACTACCACTCTTCGTTTCCGCCCCAGTGTACGGCGAATACCGAGATGATGGACTACAGGCATTGGGTATGATCGGGACCGTGTGCGATGTGCCGGAACTGATCCTTCTTCATGGTTCCCATCCCCACAGCCCACAGCGCTTTCTTTGCCTTTTTTCGCTACGATCCTCGCATGCACGCTCAGTACGCATGACTGCATATTCTCGCGGGCTTATACGAATTGGTGGTCCTCCAGACTGATCCGCACCGAGATGGGTGTGCCGGATAATGGCCCTGTAATTGCTGGGGTAACGTGGATGTTGACGATATTGAGTGGTGGGTTTTTGGCTTTAAGATTCTATGCGAAGTTGTCGAGGAAGCAGGGGCTTTGGTGGGATGATCATATCCTGACTGTCTCATGGGTAAGTCTTTGTCTTCTGTCCGTATGATGTGTCTAACGGGAATGAACAGGTCCTCCTTCTTGCGCAGGCTATCATCACCCAAGTTGGGCAACAAATGGGATTCGGAAAACGACTGGAAGATGTCGACCCTAAATACCTCATGACCATCGCAGTCGGAATGTCCGTCGCCGCATCGATATCCTGCTTCGCCTCCACTCTGTCGAAGATATCCTTCGGCGTCACTCTCCTTCGTCTCACGTCCGGCTACCTACGCGGGTTCGTATGGTTCTGCATCGTGACCCTCTTCCTCATAATGCTGCCAAGTGCGCTGGCTACATGGGTTCAGTGCCAGCCGATGGCGAAAGCCTGGAATAAAGACCTCCCGGGGACGTGCTGGGACTCTAGCCACTCAATCGACTACGGTATCTTCAACGCTGCGTGGTGCGCTGCGGCAGACTTTGCGCTAGCACTACTTCCATGGTATCTGATATGGGGATTACAACTGAAGCTCCGCGAGAAGATCGGAGTGGGCATCGCCATGAGCATGGGTGTATTGTAAGTAATCTTTCGCTGAACTTCCCAATGTTGCAGCAGTGCTAACACGACTTGCCCCCCAGATCCGGTGTCTGCGCCATCGTAAAAGGCATCTACGTAATCCAGCTCGGCCAAAAAGATTTCTCCTACAACGGCAAGGAACTCACCATTTGGACCGGCGTCGAAACCGCTACCGCCATCATCGCCGCTTCCATCCCCGTCCTTCGCGTTTTCTTCAAGGAAACTATATCTTCTTACTCGCGCTCGCATACCAAAACCAACCAAAGCGTCCCCTTGTCCCGGTTGAACCAAAGCCAACACTCCACCACGACGACGACCGTACATGCGACGGGCAAAGGGAAAGAGGGGCGCTGGACGGTGATTGAGGATCAGGGAGATGATTGGAGCCAAAGGGGCATTTTGGAGGATGAAGAAGTGGGACGGAGTCGACGGGGGACGGTGTATGAGGAGGATCAGATTTTGACGACGAATACGGTTACGGTTACGATTGAGAGTGATGCGAGGTCGTTGTCTGATCAGAAGGCTAGGTCTTTTTTGGGGATAGCGCATTGATATAGTTTCTAATGAATCGCGTGAAAGACAAAAGTTGTTGTCCGGTGGAGGATGATGTCATCGGAGAAAGTCGTGAAGAGCGTCACAGCACATGAAGAGAGAGGTGAGGAAATTTGCCCGATGACCTTATTTCATTTTCACCTGCGCTTCGCAGCCTGTTCTGCTACCACCATTGCAGGATGTCATCAATCTATCGGTCGGTCATCTTTGCTACCCTAATTTGGTCTTCAATAGTGCCTTTTCCTTGGTCATGTCATTTGGCTTGTCCAGCTAAGCGCGCTTCTCGGCGAGCAGCCCACTCCGCCATTGGGTCTTCCTGACCATGTGCCAACTTCTGGAGCTGTTGGAGCCCTGCCGCAATGACCGCCGGATCTGTCTCCTGCGACAGCGTCGCGAGACCAGTCTTCAAGGTCATCCAGCAAACGTAGTATCGCTTCAAGTATATGTGCAATCTTTTCCTCTCGTGGTCCTTGTTATCGATGTACCTTGGCAGGTACGCATGGTATGCGGCAAACTGTTCGCGAGAAATTTTTGTGAATACCTTCGTGGGTTTAAAATCGAGGTAGCTAGGTAGTTGTACTGGTTCAATGACCTGGTTGTTGAGCGTAGCAAGCTGAACTGGGTCATCGGGTGGCGTTGCTACAAGGATAGCTCCATCGTGTGCTCCAAGGACGTTTCCAGATACTAAGGGCATTAGCATGTCTCACTTCGAAGGTCCTCGCGTGACTTACCCTCGGCGTCTGAGTAATCTTGTACAATATATCGCCATTTCTCAGCGAGTGACTTCTTAGTAGCTGGGTCATCGAGTCGCTTGCTACTATCGCCCTGTAGCCACTTCTCCAGGGTTATGCCGCGGTCATCGCTTGCTAGCTGGCGCACGATTGCTGCTGTAGTGTCGTCTGTGAGAAGGTCAGCGTAGTCTCAGGCAAAGGAATAGGCGACCTACTGAACCGATGTTGCATCTCCGTGACTGGCGTTTCGTACGCCGAGGGCGTCTTGACCGGCATGATGGGGTCTGCGAGAGGGGTATGAAAAGCTGCGCAGGGTCGTTAGGATTAAATGGGAAGAGAAAATAGTGACAACAACAACACGGGGCTTGGCAAGGCAACAGCGACGACGCACGGGTGCAAACGAATTTTCATATTCACCGTCACTTCCCGTAATTTGAGAAGAGAAAATTGAGTGGTGAAGAACATGCCAAAAAGACGTCTTTTCGACGTGTATAGGCGCAGTGACAAAAGTTTTCAGGCTTCTGCACAAGAGTTAGCAAAGACATATCCGAGATATCTCTTCGATATGACCCTAAATGCGATCTATACTAGCACGAGGTTCCATTTCCTTTGCTGAAACGCAGAAATCTCATCCTTAGCTCTTAGTGTTCATTCAGTCCGGAAGTGCTATGACTTGCTGTGACGGTTGGCGGGTCAGCGTCTCAAATCTTCTACCCTGTGCGTCTCGTCAATGACGATTGGTCTATCGCGAACTGTATACTCCTACGAGGTACAACAAGTAACACATCGCGATGGTGTCGTTGTTCGTATTCCGCTAGATGCCGATAAATATCACACCAGACATCCTGTTTATTATGGAACTTTCTACTATGCCACGAACTGAATAGCGTGTAAACTGGTACTCACATTGCCTGCTTCACGAAGTGACGTTACAAAGTACCCATGTACATATGAACGGACATTATGGATTGTAAGTCTCAGTGTCAACTTGATGCGAGTGCTATGCCAGTGAAACGGCACGCAGTCTCACACTTTACAGAAACACCAAAGACTACCTCCACGTGCAGGTCGTTGTAATGAGAGTAGCATAGATCCTGTAATACCTTTGGTGGCTCTCAACTCAACACACCAACGACGAGGGCGCAGCTGGAGCTGGAACGGAAAGCATTGTAATCACGAAAGCGTCTTTCACATCGTGGATGTTGTCTAGCAGGGCAAAGTAAACCACTGAGTACTCCTCTTCACCCTTGAGTTGTTCTAGCCTAACGCAAAATCTTTGCTTCTTGATACATGTATCGCAGGCGAGCGTGCACTCATCCCCAGCCCTCACCCATATGGAATGGGTCTTGCCCTTGGCGGCGACGGCGTTGCTAACGAACAGATGAGCAGACCAGGTGCCTGGGTTCCGGCTTACTGTGGCCCATTGTTTCCTCTGCATGCCCTGCGTATCGAGCAGTACGGTTGCCATAGCGCTCGTAATCGCCTCTGTTGTCTCTTCCGACATCGACATGCCCCGGTCAAAGTCATCCCTTGTTTTACAAAGAGCTTCCACCCATGTCCGACATGCTGTCGTAGTCGATACAATCGTGGTTGTTATTAGAGCCATCGCTCGGCGGAATGCGTAGAACTACCGGTAGGTCTGTCTCGCCACGCTCTCGTATCTTCAGGGCTGGCTTGTTTGGCATCACCAGCCGAGGGCGAGGGGGTCGGAGTGCCGTGTCTTCCTCCAATGCTTCCGCAGGCTGTTGGAAGGTTGTGTCGTCGTCGGCTTGCTCGTCCATGACGCCGTGCGCCAGATCTTCGTCTGGTGTGCACATCCAGTCTTCGGGCGACGGCAAATATTGCTCATCGCGCGGTTCGATCATGAGGCCGCTGTTTACGGTAAGCAGCTGTGTTATTGTATAATTGCACGACTTACTCTTCGTACTCGCCAAATTGGCTTGGACCACCCGCATCCTGCTCGCACACAGCTTCCTCCAGAGACAGAGGAGGAGCGTCTATCATTCCTGTCTCGCTAGTCGTTCTGTCAGGCGCAGCGGCGAATTCATCTGCTGTGCCGCTGCAGTCGTTGAAGTGGAGCGACGATGTGCAAGGGTGCAGGCCATCATCTGCTGTAGACCGACGCAGAGGCGGTGCAAAGCTATCGCGCATCATGGGTTCGCTAGAAGGTGATCTGGGCCTTTCTTTCATCGCCATGTTTGCCTTGACTAGTGCAGGCATAACGTTCTCAAGGTATGCGACACCCCGATTGGTGAGGTCCATGACCGTGTCGAATTTGGTCCGGGTCTGTTCGGTCCTCCGCGAACTTAGCGGGAGCCCAAACTCGGTCGGCGTGTTTAGCAGAGTCACCCATACTGCCAGGGAACCGAGGTCGATAGGTACTTCAGTTGGTTTCAGAGTTGCTGGGGCTCGTGCAGTGAAGGTGGTGTATGCAAGCTGAAGCCTTGTCTCCAACACCGCTGCAGACGGTTTTGGTTTCTTCTGTTCTTTCTTCTGTTGCGGGGTATTGATGAGAGATAAGAGAGGAGGAATGAGAATGAGGAATGAGATAAGAGATGAGGGATGAAAGATAAGAGATGAGTGATGAGGGATGGTGGATGAGCAGAACGTTAATATTGGGCCTCGCAAGCCTTGGAAGTTTTACTCAGTCGCGATGTTGATGACTGTCGTGCTTTCTCTCCATGGCAGCCGCGTCATAGAGACGCGTGCTTTCCGTGAACGCCCATGAAGCTCCAGTCTGCGGGGCGTTCCTTCCATGAATCTCTCACTAACTTACCGAGATTCGACACGCGACGAAGACGAGCAAAATAAACATCTACTCTGCAGCATGATCGTATCATCAACTCACAAATGTATATCCCAGTGTATACAATAAGATCCCAGGTCGATGTATTTCTCGGTTGATCGAAGCCATCGGCGCGGGGATTGCCGGACGGCACGTGTTTTGTTACTCAGCACCCGCCGGTGTTTCAGCTACCTTGCCTGCTCTCCAGACACCACCCTTCACTGAGCATGTATCCACTGCGACCCACCGGAGAGCGTCCGCGATGGCCAGACCGCCAGCAAGACGAGCATGCGACAGGTGCCATGCCGTGAAAGAGAGATGCAGGCGCGTCTCCGGCCAGGATGCCTGCGAGCGATGCCAACGCCTCCGCAACTCATGCCAGACCCTACGACCAGTTGGCACTGCCGGCCGCAAACCTCGGTATCAGCGCACCGAAGATACGACACGCAACCCGCTACAGACGGCTCGGAGCGACAGCCTTTCCGTTGCTTCTTCTTCACCTAGATGCCCAGCCTCGGCCGCGAGCCCAGCGATGCCGGATTGGGACATAGTCACGCTGCCCAGGGCCCCATCCCCGTTCGCAGATCTGAGTGAGCGGGAGATGCACCTCGTCAAGGGCGTGTCCCAAGGCCAAACGCGCATCGACCAGTTCCTGATCGCGCCAAGCTTCCGCATCTGCCACCACAAAGCCTTCGCACGTCAACTCCACAATGCAACGTCGTGGGTACAAGATTCGTTGATAGCCACCGCGGCCCTCCTAGCTTGCGAGTACGAGCCTGGTCCAAACCATGAGAACCGAGTCATTGGCCACAGGCGGGCTGCCTCCGCCGTCTCCACATTGCGGTCTGTCAAAGTCGTCGACCCTGGAGACGTTCAGACCGTGTTGATGCTTGCAGTGAGCGCCATCACGTTTGCCCTGCATATATCCGGTAGCTCATTGGAGATCTGTCGACATACTCTCGACATTATCAAGCCCATATACGAATCGACAGTCGAGCTCAGTCCGGACTGCCAGGCCTTCGTCATCTGCCTCATTCAAGCGGAGACCGAAGAGTGCATCATACGGGGTGAGGCTCCAACCCTGCGGCTCGAGGTCCAAGAGACCGATGACATGGTTGATCGATATATGGGAATTGCCTGGCCTATGCTACCGTACCTCTACGATGTTTGCAAGATCACCAACTCGCTACGCCAGAATCCGAACCTCGATCTATCCGAGATTGCGCAAGCTCTGAACGACATCGAAGTCGCGGTCGAGGCCTGGACGCCAATCTTGCCGGTCGACCAGATCAGCCGCTTCTTACAGGAAGAGGTGGCTAGCATCATGTCTCAAGCCAAACTATATCGCTGGTCGGTGCTGCTTGTCGTACATCGACTGCGACATCCATATGGCACAGCGTCAGCCAGAGGCACTGTCATTTCGAATGCCATATTCGAAGAGCTGCGGATGATACTCCAAATCACCAAGCGCTCGGTGCCAGGCGCCATTATTCCATATGTGTTTGCTTGCTTCGAGCTGGTCGATTCTGCTCAGCGCGAAATGGCGCTCGACAAGATCGACGTCGTCATTGAGTTTTCGAAAGAATTGCGAACAAAGGTCAAGAAGCAACTCATGGCATTTTGGGTCATCAAAGATAGCACGGCTCAAATACATTGGAGCGAGATCGTTTCATGGCTTCCACAATGACACTATCGACTACGAACGATACAAAGCTCAGAGAACGAATGTCTTTGATCGGAAATATCTGCGTGAGATGAAACGACTACACAAAGTCGTTCGTACGGGAACAAGCACTCCAACCGCTCCACTTCTTCCAGGAGCAGCGTAGCAATGCGAGGCCCATCATGAACACTACTCAAGTGTTCTATGGGCTGGTTGTCGCATTGCCATGCGCTTGTATTTCTTCGCCGTCGCAACCCTGATCTTCTTGCCCCACAGTAGCAGGGGAATGGGGATCAGCAAGATCGCAAAGCAGACAGCCGCCGTGATGATGGAGACATTCTGTATACCCATGTCGTTCGTCCACGGCGTGAGCGCGAAGAGGATGACGACGGCGAACAGGTTCCGGACAAAGACGATGCCTATCATAGCATCTCCGAGGATCTAAAGGTTGTTATGTCAGTGGGAGCTCCGCTTCAGATAGGCTGGGAACTGTCCACTCACCTCTTGATAGCAATCTGTCACGTATGATAGCGCGACGCCACTAGCTAGGACAAATGTGAAGCCGAACAGCCCGAATCCTACGGCCAATATCATCCAGTGCAGACCCTGAAGAAGCTGTTAGTGAACCATCATTACAGCCAGGTGCTACCAACATACCCTGGCTAAGGCTAGCCCAAACATCAGGATACCGCCCGGGAGCAGGATTGCTGAGATAAGAGTGATCCACAGGCGCATCTCTGGTTCGTAAATGCCTCCATTCCGCCTGGCGAAGTACATGATCGATCTGTCGTTCAGGAAACCACCCGCGAAGAATCCGAAGAACGTGCCAACGAACGGGGCGATGTTCATGAGTCCAACGCCAGAGGCTCCAAAGTTGTATGGTGGTTGCAACAGGTAGACGGCCTGTAATGAGCTCATCAATGCCATGCATGCCAGCAGGGTTCCATACGTAAGTGCAGCAAAGGCCACGGCAGGGAAAGTGAACAAGACAACGATTGGCTGGTAGAAGTGGTGGCCGATGCGTTGCTTGGAAGGAGTGACAATGGCCATGCGCTGACGATAAGTCTTCCGTGGTAAGGAGGTGTCGATTCGGGATTGTATGCGCTCCATGGCGGTGTGCTTTGCGTCGCCTTTGCCTTCTGTGGCCTTTTGCAGCCCTGAGTCGGGACGGCCGTCTTCGAGTCCATCCGAGCCAGCCGTGTGTGGCACACTCTGACCATTCAGAATGGGCACATACTTTGACTCTTCGAAAAAGAATAGGACGAGGACAAAGTTCAGACCGAGGAAGATGGTGCACCACCACCAGATCCACCTCCAGCCCTGCGACTCCACAACGAAGCCGGCGGCTACCGGGCCGAGGGAGGCACCCACGGACGTGAAGACGAGGTACCATGCGTTCATAGTTCCGTGTTGGTGGACGAAGAACAAATCAGCAATGGTGATCTGGATGACAGCCTCGCTAATAGCACCGCCCAGTCCAGCAAGGAAGTTGCTGCCCATATAGTCACCATAGTTTGCCATCTGGGTCTGCCACAACACCCCACTCAACTGGAGCGCAGAGCTGAGCAGATACAGAGGTCTTCGTCCGTACTTGTGTACGAAGGGCATGAAGATCATGCAACCGACTGCAAGCCCAGCACAGCTCATAGCGCCGCCATTGTTCAGCTGATCGTTGGTGAAGCCCAGTTCAGGTGCAATTTGGCCCCACGAAGTCGTGCCGCTCTGGAGCTGTACAAACGTCCAAAGGACGAAGAAGCCGGTCAAGCCGAAGTTGATGGTCTTGCGCAATTTGCTCCAGTTCAAGGGGTCATCTGGTTCGGTGCTAGGCACTGGGTGGAGGATGACGTCCGTTGCGGGCCCCGTCACTACAGCGGGACAGTCAGTGTGCGGTCTTTACAGCGGCAGATGCGAGCCTTACAATCCTCTAGTCGTAGCGTTCCCGGAGCCCAAAAGGTGCCATCATCCGGTCTGGAGCCATTGCTGTCGGCCATCGCTCTCAGGAGGGTACGAAACAAAAATAATCGCGTTGAAGAGGTTGTCTATCACAGGCATGGAGCTTGTTGCGTGGATATCTTCCCCACTGTTACCCAGAGCTTTCGTGTGTATATATACCACAGCGACCGCTGAGGCAGTGTCAGCTGGGTTCTGTACGTTATCTGCGCATCCCTATCTCGAACCCCGGATTGCGTGTTTCCGCAGGCGAACGGGGCGAATTTGGCGAATTGCGAATTAAATAACCCACCGGCTTGGCGCTCCCGGCTGTGGGGTAGTGTCGCGCTAACGTCTGCCGCTCAGACACGAAACGAAATGTTGCTCCGACACGGCCAGATATCAACACTTTGCCTCGCGATCATGCGGACGAGATCTGGACCCCGCATTATTCAGCTACGGATAGATACTACGGCATCTGAGTATTCCAATGATATACATATCTTAGCATCTCCGGATGCTGGCCATTACCAATATTACGCGTCCAGCCCGTATCTTTCCAACTCGAATCTTTCCGAGACTTAGCAATTCCCTTCATTCATCGACTATGGCTTCCAACTCATGGGAGAGTAAAGTTGCTGCGAAGCAGCAGTCCAGTCGCGAGAGGATACCAAAAGAATGGCTTCTTCCAGCATCGGTCACGGACATGCTTCAGACGCCGCTTTCGGAACATCCAAATCGCTTGATGAAGATGGGCATTGCACGAAAGTCGGGACTGTTGAGCGAGAAGGAACTGGAGATTACCGAGAGGTATACCGTTGAAGAGCTGTTGAAGCAGCTGAAAGATGGTACTCTATCGTCACTGGAGGTTACCATAGCGTTCTCGAAGAGAGCAGCCATGGCACAGCAGTTGGTTTGTCGAATCTTCCTTCAGAATAGAGAACAAGCCACTAACGTAGTATTATAGCTGTCTTGTCTCACAGAGACATACTTTGCTGAAGCACAAGAGCGAGCACGCTTCCTCGACAGCGAAAGAGCTAGCGGTCGTATCGTAGGCCCTCTCCACGGTCTACCCATCAGTCTCAAGGATGCTTTCCAAGTCGCTGGCTCAGCAGCCACTATCGGATTCGTTTCATTCCTGGATCATGCTGCGTCGAAGGAGAACTCGCCGCTCGTGGATATCCTGCTCGAGCTAGGCGCAGTCGTATATGTCAAGACCAACATCCCTCAGACCATGATGGTAAGTCAATCATCCCATCTTGACATCAAGAAGGCTCATGGACTAATGTATCGTAGACGGCCGACTCACAGAACAACATTTTCGGGCGTACTTTGAACCCCCACAACACTGCTCTCACTGCGGGAGGGTCGAGCGGAGGCGAAGGCGCACTTGTTGGATTCCGAGGATCTCCACTCGGTGTTGGAACAGACATTGCAGGTTAGTACACGTCGTTGAAGTTGCAGTGATCAGACTTGCTGATCTACACTAGGATCAATCCGCATACCCGCTCTCTGCTGTGGCACCTACGGCTTCAAGCCCTCTACAGCGCGCATTCCAGATGGCGGACAAATATCGCCCGTCTCCGCTGGCAACAACTTCTTCAACCCATCAGCTGGTCCCCTCGCAAACGACATACACGCTCTGGGCATCCTATGCCGGTCACTCCTATCAGTGAGACCGGCCTTGTACGACGCCTCTGCTCTCGACGTTCCCTGGAGAGACCTAGAAGTACCGCCGAGCGCTCCGAAGCTAAGACTGGGTCTTTTGGCCGAGGACTCAGCCTTCCCCTTGCATCCGCCGGTTAAAAGAGCGCTAGCACAAGCTGTCAGCGCGCTCGAAGCAAAGGGCCACGAGGTGGTTCCTATCGCGCCGGCGCGCGCTCAGGTCGCCAATGCGCTAGCCCTCGCGTTTGCCTTCTTTATGCTCGACGACACTCCCCCAACGCATGTAGCCGCTAGTGGTGAGCCTGTTGTTCCTTCGGTTATTCAGTCCATGGAAGTTTTCCATTCTTTCAATTGTGACTTCCTAGACGACTGCAAGGGCCTGGAGGGCATCAAGAAATTAGCTGCGCTCAATGTCAAGCGTGATGTTATCCAAGATGAGTGGAGGAAGATTTGGAAGGAGCAGAGATTGGACGGAGTAATCGGTCCGGCTGCACAGCACACTGCGGTCGCGCACGATACATACGGGTTACCGCCGTATACGCTACTGTTGAACGTATTGGATGTAAGTCATGCTTACCCATCTCGAAGTGGCTGTAGAGAGCATTGTTAACGTCAAGCCAGTATCCCGCATGCGTACTTCCCTTTGGTAAAGCCTCAAGCGCTCTGGATGCTGAGCCCTTTGTCATGGGCCCTGGCCAAGTAGGCCCGAGTTGTAAGTCGCCGTCTTGACTCTTTGTACTGGTCTGAGACGCAAGCTAATGTTTTCAATGCAGATGATCTTAAGCTCGTGGATGGTGCACCGACTGCCATCCAGGTCTTCACGAACAAGATGCGCGATGAAGAATGCCTGCAGGTGTCTGCTATTGTCGATGAGTGCTTGAAAGCTGTGTAGATATTTGTTTTGGACTTATATGAGCATACTTCGAGATCGCACATTCCTCCACTTGCAACTTCGGCGTCGCACTACAGCATCTTGTATTCTGCGAAATGTCCCGAACACTGCTGTATCTGACTGTCTGCAATGTCGACCATTCGCTCCTGCATGATGATTAATGCGGTGGTAATCACCATGTCAACCAGGAAAAGAACTGGACAGACCTACAGCCTACATCAACATGGAAGCATACAAGATAGGTGACCTAGCGGCGATGTAGGCGCCAGGCCTGTTCAGTTTCATTCTAGTATGAGCTTTCACTGTCTAACCGAATCATCTCGTACTCATCATCTCATCATCTCGTCTCGTCGTCCACTCTTAGTAGTCTACATCCTTCCACTGTACAAATCCATCCAAATCGTCTACCATTTCCCTCTAGTGTGCATGATCCTCGCCGCAACCGCAGTCAGGCCCAAATTCGCGTCGGGCCTGTCTCGCTTCCTCCTGCCATGGCTGTAGGGTGACCGCCCGCTTCGTCTCCCGTTCCCACTTTCCATGACCCTTCTTCTCGTTGAGTTCGACGAGAGCATCCAGCCAAGCGGCAAGTCTGTACCCCGCCTTTGCGAGTTGCTTCGTAACGACAGGAATAGCAGTATCCCAGTAAGCTCCTGAAAGCTCTTGCGCGAACACTGCGTCGGGGCCGTTGGGAATGACAGTGGAGCAGACGAACTTGTTGGCGTCGCGCGCCCAAGTCATGGAGCTGCTGACTGCATCCTTCGCCTTCAGCCCCTTGAGCCACGTCTTGCTCTCCTTCTTGAACTTGCCATGCTTCACTTCCGCGGTGAGGTTGTTGGCCAGAGCCAATGCATTGGCTTGGGAGAAGTTGCCATAGGCCTTTTGCGGGATTGCTGTGTCCCAGATGGAGTGCAGGTTTGTTCGCGCGCCATTGAAAGTGACGTTGATGAGGTTACCACCTACGGCGATGTTCTCCACGTGGAGTGGCTGGTGGACATCGCCGACGAAGTGGATGACCCATTTCAGGGCTCTTTGCTGTTCGACGATGCCAACTGACTTCTGGAAAGCGCGGCTGGAATAGTTGGCGATGGCGGAAACGATGCAACCCTCCTCAGGACAGTCACGCTCGTAGTCGATATTGCAGCTCTCAGGCGGATTGTCGAGCGCATCGATGTAGTGGAGCACTGAACTGAACTTCCCCTCCGGTTCAGAGCGGAAGCTATCAGCCCAGGTAGCCACATTGGCGAGATATGCGGATGAGGTGTCGTTCAAGAGGGTCTGCGCAAACTTGGCCGTCTTGTGGGAGACGAGGTTCTGTGCCATGTATGCCACTGCGGTGTGACCGAGGGAGCCCCAAGCGGAAGCATAGGGTACTGCCGCAAGGAGAGGTAGAAGCGACTTCGGTGGTGCCATCTTGAACGTTGAAGTTATCGGGCTGGTCGAAGTGAAGCAGGAAAGAGGCTTGTTGTCATGCTCACGCAGAGGACATGCGATGTTATAAGCAGCTGGGAACGGCAACGATTTCAACCAATAGCTCTGACGGTATCGGCCATGGCCGTTTCGTCGCCACGATGCTTGATCGAGACCCTGTAGAGCGCGAGCGACGATATGCAGGTCCATGGAGATGCTAGCCCAGAAAGGAAGGTGCTACGCCACGATAGGCAGGAGCTGGGTAGCCGACCTCAACTTGAGCCTCTGTCAGAGAGCACGTTGTCCGTCTTGATTGGATAACCACAAAAACACAGCCGGAGATGAACATCTGAAGCTCCCGTGGGCAGGGTAACACGTTGTACGGGCGGGTGTCTAATGTATGTACCTACAAAACCAATGCAGCTAACAATGCTCCGAAGACAGCTAGGGTATCTCAAATCCGTGAGTCTTCGCCAAACGCCAGATGTAAATGCACATTGTCACGATCGCGTTTATCGCTCCGCCTCTGCGGCATTGTCCTCGCCGCCTGCGTCCATATTGTTCGGCGCCTCGTCTTCGGCAGTCTCTTCGGCCGGAGCGGGCGGCCCTTCGATCAGGCGGAGCCACCACGCGGGAGGATCGAGAGGGCTGTGGTTGTTGTGCAGCGGTGGGTAGATGTCGTTGAAATAGTACCAGACTGGAGAAGGTCAGTTGTTGTCCTCAAGAGCTGGGAGCGCAGACGTACTATGGCCGACAACGATGCCGCACATCTCATCCTTGGGCACCGTCCCGTGCATGATGAGCGAAAAGGCCAAGAGCACCCAGGGAAGGTATGGCGCCTTGAAGACCAGCAGGCCAAGGAAGCTGAGCATGGTGTCCGGGTTCTTCCTGCTCCAGATGTAGATGAGGGTGCTGGACAGAGCCGAGCCGAGAAAGGCCATGGAGAACATGGGCGCGATGCAGAGGAGCAGCGTCGACGCGAATGTGAGGAGCCATGCGAAGTGTGCCGTAGAGCGGCCGGACGATTCCTCGAGCAGGCGCGCGTATCGCTGGAGGAAGAAGATGTGGTAGAGGAGGTCGAGGCTGAGTGGGCCGAAGTAGAAGAAGGTGGTGAGCAGTCGCCAGTACTATGCAGGTCAGTACGGGCTGGAATAACGCAGTGGTAGTAGTGGTAGTACCTGGCTCTTGAAGAAGACGGTGCGCACGCTGTAGAAGAGCTGGAAGGGCGAGATGATATGGCACTGCACCAGCACACTGGCACTCAGCGCCGCCGTCATCCACCAGCGCGTGCACACGGGCATTTCGTAGAACCACTGCTCGAGCGGAAACCCTCCGGCCCCTCCCATCATGCCGTCCCCGCCTTGCAGAACATTCGCCATGGTGGGTTGAGCGCTCTAGGGATAACACAGGATGAAGAATGAGGGAAAGAGGCAAGTTGCAGCGCCTGCACTCAGATACCTAAGTAATAAGCAGCGAAAGGCCAAGTGTCGCTCAGCAAACGCAGCCGCTTTCCGAGCGTGTGAACGATGGGGCCCATGTGGCTACGTAACTTGTCCGATGGCCCGCCAAGGCGCTAGGACTAACAGCACGCGATCGCACCTTCCGCCCGCCGGGCGTCGGGGTCCGAGCTCCTGCCCTGAGTGAATGCGAACCAGCCACAGCACCAGCCCCTCGTCTCAGTCGCGTCGGCAGACGGCCAAGATCGCGAAGGACGATGCGCCCGTGCTCCATTCACCACCGCGACCCTCGTACGCCATCTCATCGATATACCCGACGACGACGTGCCGACCGTTCGTCTTGTTGATCTTGACGCGCTTGAGCTTCGCGACTTTTCGCGCCGTGCACGCGCCGTGAACCCTCCCTGTTCGCCATTCCCACGCCCCAATTGATCCACCTGGACCCCGACACACCGCGCGATATCCTTACACACCAAAACCAAAATGTCTCCCAAATCTCCCACCAGAAAGAACAAGGCGCGACCGTCGCGAGGTGGACGAGCCAGTGTCGGAGGAAGGAAGGAGTCGGGCAAGAGACGTACGTAGTGCGCCAAATAGTCAATCTGCGCATCCCAGCTGACCACCGCGCAGTTGGACAGGCAGGACCCGCTCCCGATCGCGCAAAGAAGCGCTACAAGCCCGGCACCGTCGCTCTCCGTGAGATCAAGCGCTACCAAAAGTCGACCGACCTGCTGCTCCTGAAGCTCCCATTCCAGCGCCTCGTACGGACACTCCATACATACATTCTGGCGACAGTCAGCTAACGTGCCTCCAGGTCCGCGAGATCGCGCAAACAGTCACAACAGAAGACGGCCCCAACAGATGGCAGAGTCAAGCCATCGTCGCCCTCCAAGAAGCCACCGAAGCCTTCCTCGTCAACCTCTTCCACGACGCCAACCTCTGCGCCATCCACGCCAAGCGCGTCACCATACAGCAAAAGGACATCCAACTCGCGCGTCGTCTGCGAGCAGCTTGGGGCGCGCCGGTTTGAGTTGGCACGGTTGTTTTGGCAGATACCCAATCTTCACTTCTGTTGGTACCGAGTTTGGAGGAAATAGGGCGTATCGTTGCGATCTGGAATTCGTGCGCATACCAGAGAGGCTGCTTTTGGAAAACAATTGCGATTGGCGTTGCGTGGCGCAGAGGTTACTCGCATGAGGCCCGTCTTCAGGATTGTTATTGATTATTGTTCGTATATTTGCAGCATACCGACTACCGAGCTACAACCGTATCCCCTGTATATCAGTATTTTGGATCATCAAATGGAAAAGAAATCCCACGTCTCCCGTCTCTCAACTTCGACCTGAACGACGTGAATCATCCGGGGAATGACTCCAATCAGACGCCGACTTCCAGTATAGTTAGTGGCATTGGCAGTCGTCCGCCGTTTCTTGCTTGAGTTGCTTGTACGTGGACAAAGGCTTGGCTATCATCGTCTTCGCAGCGTGCGAAGAGCTCGACCAGCTGGAGCTGGAGGCGCGGAACACCGCCGAGGAAAGCTCCCCGCCATTTCCGGAACGTTGGCTTCTTATCGCCGGCCACCCTCGTCACCTTCCACATACGCTTCGCAGCAAAGATCCAACTCTCCTCCGCAACCCGTAGCCGACCAACTAAGACATTACCGAATAAACAAGTGACGCAAAGCCTCCTTGGCAGCCTTGGCCATGCATTGTCCCCGCCCGTATCACGTCGCTAGAATGCCATTCGACGTCATGAACTGGCTGCCTCAGGTCGGTGCCGCTGCGGCGATGCACACGCTATAGCTCAACCAGGAAGCTCAATGTCTGACATGCAGGCACATGCAGGCTTGTACATGGTCGCCAGGCAGACGAGTCAAGGTACCCCAATGTCAAGAACCATCTATAAAGTTGGCACTTCTGGTACTTCCGTAGCCTCTGCCCGCAGCAGATTGGAGAACTCGATCTCCTCCTACCACAGCGATCATGGTTGCATTCAGGCTGTCGCTTCTTGGAGCAGCTGGGCTTCTGAGTGGGGTTGTCAACGCTCAGTTTCCTCCGACACCAGAGGGCGTTACTGTTCTTGAATCGCAACTTGATGAGGGTGTCACGATCTCATACAAAGAGGTAGGCCATCCTC